GCGTAGCCTCCAAGCAGGACAGTTGGGTTTCAACAGGTTCACGTATATGCGGGTGGAAAAGTTGTCCACCCGTCTTGTAGAAACATCACCCCCTCTTTCCATGCCTTGCCAGGGGCGTCGTTGCAGTGTTTCCTCCCATGCGATGTATGTGCAGGACCTCTCAGTGAAACCCCACAGCCAGGCGGCGGAGGGCCAAGACAACCCGCTTTATCAGTCGTCTTGTTCGAGGTTTGTTCACAGTACTAGGAGAAGGGACAGGGCCTTTCACAAGAGCAACTGGTTGATACGGGGCCACCAGGCAGGTGCTCTTCAGAAGTCTTGCGAACAGAGCGGTTGCAAGAAGATGCGACCCCTGAAAATGAGTGGTTTCTCTTGGTTTCCTTCTGAAGGGTACCTCTACCCGAAAACAACCGAGTACAGGCTAGCTTAGCTAAAATGTGGGCAAGCCTCAGTTGCTGGGCTTGAGAGAACCACTTCGCTGCACTGGCGCTTTTGAGCCGAGCACCGCCAGTTGCTGGCAAGAGAGAAGCACTCACCATACCGCAACATAAACGGGGAACACTAGCCAAACGTTCATGTTAGTTTGTGCGGGCGAATTTGAGCAACTAGTGCCTCTGCCAATTATGTTCCTCAAACGATGCATGAAAGGTGCCTTGCCTTGTTGCAACAGGTTGATGTGATCAATTGAAATCATTGCTAGTGTAGGGAGGACACTGGGGCCCCGCCAATTTCTGCGCAAGACCAGCGGGGGCGCCAATTTACCAATGCCCTGTCGAACGAATTGTCCACGACTGCACTCCATGAAGATGCCCGCGTGCATCTACCTTTTCCCTTGCCCGACAGGTGTCTCCCGGGGCGCTCTATGATGTGGCGCACCCCGCCAACGCCCGGGGACCCCTGGTGTCTGCGGCAGGATGTTGCGGAGTTTCTGAGGGAAAATGACATTGAGCCCCTTTAAGCTGTGAAGATTATGTGGTTTGGGACTCACTGGTCTTACAGACTTACAAGTCACTGACCACTTGACTGTAATGGTCACCCAAGGCAGGAGAAGTGGTTGGGACATTCATAAGTGTGCCGGCGGGGGTCATATGCCACTCTGCATTTTGAGGCTCACTATCTCTATTTAATCTCAAAATATGAACCAGCAATTTTGCCTGTTATGCTTCATTTCTTGGGAGCGTCTTGATTCCTGGCGAAAAAGACCCGGGTTGACAGAAGCCAGGGACCAACCCGATCTCGCCGGGTGACGCACATGCACCCGGACTCGTAGGTCCTTTTCTCCTCCGGAAGCCCAACGGTTTTCCAGAGCCCCCCAGTCCAGCATGGACCCGCAACTTGCGACGGGAACCTCCACGACTTAGCTAAGATGTGTTCAGTCAAGGGCTGAGCAGCAGCTTGTCAAGCCGGTATCAAAGGAGGGTTTCGGGTGGCTTGTGCTTCTTTCCGCCTGCACCGTCTTAGATCTCGGACCACTTCCTCACGTGCTCGGGGGACAGTCTCGTGACGCCGGTGGGCTCAGGGAAAAAGGCAGGCGCTGGTCCCTTCCCCCATTTGCTCAGATTGCTCCGATGGTTCGCGCCAAGAGCGACTCAAAGAGTCAAGCAACGCCGTTATACTCTTGGGACACGTTTGGAGAGCAAGAGAGGGAGAGAGTGATCTACGGGGGGACGTCAAGGTACGGAAGCAAGTCACGCCTCAGCAAAATGGCAAACCTCTTGTTTCAGCCAGGTCTGCTAGCAGAACGCTAAGTTGTGTCAGGCGATGGTCGGTCCTTTGTGCCGTTGAGCGCAGTCAGCTTTGCACCTCGAAGCTTGACGGAAAACGGAGAAACACAGAAAGTTAGGTGCCCAGGCTTTTGCCATGGTTTTGTGCAAGGGCTGCTCCCAGGCATTTTTTGCCTCGGCCAAAACGAAGGGGCTCTTCTGGGCGCGGATGCCTGGTTTTGACGTATCAATTCTTGTTTTAAAGTTCCACGTTGCAACGAACTCTGACACCGGACACCACCAGACTAGCACTCAGGGCCACGCGTGAGGCGGAGGGAGGTTTGCGCCCCCGAGTGGGCTGCTCTTTGCTGTTGGTTTCCCAAGTATGACACAAGCACAAAACGGGTTTCCCAACTAACTCTAATCATGGAACCCCCTTGTGGTTTCCCGTTGAATTTGGCTTAAGTATCCTCAGAGAGTTTCCCGTTCCCTTCGGACCTCCCGGCCGAGGCTCTGGGACGCGAACGACTACAGGGCCAAGCTCCGCTGCTCCGTCGGCACGTGCCTGGGCAAGAAGACGCGCTGCACCCGTTTGGGTGGGTCAAAAATACATAGCCAAAATGGAATCCTGGTATATAAATGGAAACATGGACCAATACCTGTGGTCCCCTGGTGGTTTAATTTTGACCCACAGCCATTTGGATGTCTTTTCGGGTTTTGAAGTTAAACACGAAGCAAACGGAAACCCAGCGAGTTTGGTGTGTCGTTTTTTGGAGGTGTCCCTTTGGGATCCCTGTCGCCAGAAGCAAACCTTCGGCCCAGTAAGCCGTCTTGTGGCCCCCCCTGGCTCATGTCTATTGCGGAAACCGCCCTGTTTTGACCGTGGTCATCTTTTCATGTTGAGGCAAAAAGAGAAGCCTGCGTTGTGTCAACAGGAATCAAACCCTTCAAATGGTTTCCCATCAGTGTCCTTCTAACAACTAATTGTAAACGCTTCGCGTTGCCCGCCTGAGGTATGTACAGTGCTTCAGTTTGCCTTGAAGTGATGTTATTAAAGTGAGTGAGTCGGCGCCGAAATGCGTGAGCTGGTTTCCAAGCGGGTGGGCGCATGTCTCCATGTTTCCACCTGGCTTCAAGGGCCAGACCGAGAGCTGCAGAGAGCTGCAGAATGGTGGGCCAAGCGCAGGTCCAAATTTTTGGGGTATTGGACTTTTGACGGTTTCTAGGGGGATTTGACGGGAGTTGGGCCTGTTTTCAGGCGGGATTTGACAGGTTTCTAGAAGCGAGTTCGGCTGCGGTGTTTTAAGGGGGGTCTAATGGGCTTCGGAAGGGGAATTTGAGCAGTTTTAGCGGGAATTTGGCCGGTTTCTAAAAGATTTGACCAGAGTGGGACCAGCTTTGAGCGGAGGAAGTTGACCGGTTTCCAGCGAGATTTGACCGGAGCCAGATGGGAAGTTGGCCGGCTAGATCAGTGAGATTGAACCATGGCCACCTGACAACGGTGTTGCGTGCGAATCAACAAAAAAGATTCCGTGGTTCTTGATGTCAGTTCGGTGAATCGTCCTTCAGACGGACTCGTCAGACAGCTTCCGCGCAGCATTTTTGTTCTCTGCCAACGTTTCATGGAGCGTTGCAGAGGCTCCCCTCCTTCGCAAAATGCCGGTTGTATTCACTTGATTTGCCAAGTTCAGGGATACTGTTGAATGTCCAAGAGGCACCCACGAGTGAAGGTCAAATAAAGCGGCTTCAATACTTGAACAACCTCATTGGCATTGAGCGTATTGTTTTGTGGAAGTTCCGAGAGGGGGCTGCAGTCGCCTCTGGCCAAGGCGGGCCTATCCCTTGTCTGTATGCGGGACGGAGGACATTTTCGCTGTGGCCTCAAGGTTCTCGGCTGATCTTTGATCAGTTTGGCTTAGCTAGCTCCGTTTTTGTGGACCAAATGGCAGAAATTCAGAATGGCCTTCACTCAAAGTGCAGACCCCTCTCAGACCTTCTCGGGATCCCTTGATTTCGACTGGTTGCACGCCAGCAACATGTGGGGAATGACTCGACTGCGCAGCTGATGGTGCCGTCATAAGCAGTTTCTAAGTCCTGAGCTTGCGTGGATGGAAGGAAAGTAGAAACCCTGACGTGCAAAGCTTTGTCACAGTGCAGGCATAGTGGTCATGCAATAACAAATATATGTAACATATACATAATATACATGTATACTTGCACGCGCTCACACACACACACACCTCAGTTTTCGGGGTTGTAGTTATTTGGGGCAATAAGTCATTTTGAAAGCAAGGAGTGCAACTTTGAAAGGCAAGGATGGCAAATTCCTGAAACTGCAGGTGTGCAGGTGCGGAACCTCACAGGGCTGATATCACCCATGATGGTTCCTGGTGCCTTATGTCAAATCTAATTATGATACACCACAGGAAGGATGTCTAAGACAGCCAAGAGTAGGGAGGGGGGCAATAGAGTGACCCCATGTTTCATCTCCTACGCTTGGGGCGCCGTTGTCGAGACTGGCTGGGTCCGTTTCCAAAGGATGCGGAGGGATGGTTCGGTCCATATTCCTTTGTCACGTGAACACATTCACGGAGCACACCGTGTCAAACCCTGTCAGGCCACGTGCTCATTTGGGGGTTTGGGTGTAGTGTGGTCTGACTTTGTCGCGTATGTGCGGAGGAAAACCTTGGCGATTTGGTGAGGGCTCCTTAAAAGATACACTTTGCCCATTTGAAACATGGCTTTTTCCAGCAACATAAAGTTGGAAGCCACCATTGGATCGTTTGGTGAGGGAATGCTTGGACTGAACCACTTTTTGGTTGAGCCTCGGATTTTCCGAATTTGAAGACCCACATGGCCCATGGGCTTGGGGATGGAATTGGGCTTCCGGGGTTCAACACCTGGAAGTGGAACAGCTGGTCCAAGCAAAGAACCCGAAAAATTCGGAGGTCCTGAGTTGGACTTAAACAACTTGTTGGGATCGGACTGGTAAATCAAAGTTTGGATGTTTTTTTGGCCAATCCACTCAGGAAGTGAGAAGAGGTCAACTCTTTGGACAGGCCACGGTAAAAGCCATACGCTAGAAGATCTTATGCCACAGCCAGCAATGGACAGGCGTTGTTCTTGGTCGTTGAACCCACGCTCATTTTCTCTGGCGCATTTGGTTTTAAGGCAAGAACATGTCGCCGTGTTTCCCCGTGCTCTTGGCTCAGTACAATACAGTCCGCTCGCATGATCAAGTTGAGGCCAGGATTCGAGCTTCCCAATCTCCTCCCATGCACAGGCGCAGCCAGGCACTCGCGTCCCCTTTTGTGCTTGGAAAGGAGCCTCATTCTGCGTGCTCACTTCGTGCCATTGCCATGGAGCATGCAGAAGTTCCCCCCCACCTTAGCACCTTGGAACTTATGAAGCGGGGGGTTGGACACCATGAAGCCAGCCCAGTCATTTGTGAATGCCTGATAGGTTCGGTTTCAGTAAGTTCTTCCCATGGATATGTACCAAGCGCTTTTGGGATACAGCAGCCATTGGTCGGTGTCAAAAGCTGAAACTGGCGGTGCGGTTCTTTTGGCTTCATGAGGTAAGGCATCCGTACCTTGGAAGCGACCATTTTCTTACGTGTCACCTTGCTGGTTTCCATTGGCTGCCATGTAAAACCCGTCTTTCGGCCAGTTGGACAGTGCAGGAAATTTGGGACCGCAAGATAAACGAGCCGATTTCTCCAAACTTGAGGGCTCTGAAACTTGTCGCTTGTTTGGGGAGCTTTTGGAGCCTTTCCTCAAAGCGCGCGATGCAAAGGTTGCCATAGGCCTTGAATTGGATGCCTGTTTTTTGCTGGCCCAAGAGCACTTGGTCCATCCGGGCAACGATCATCTAGCTTTTTGTTTTCAGGGCGATTCAGGTTCGTGGCGAGACATGCCACCCACACAGCTCCAAGGGCAGGCGTTCTTGGGTTTACCCTTCGCAAGTTGTTTGGTATGATTTTAAGGATCCCCTAAACGTGTACCATCGCTCTTGGGTGAAGAGTCCTTTTCGCCCGCAAAAGAGGCGTGGGGTGTGCCCTTCATCCAGTTCACCCGCTTCCGGGGTGAACCAGGGTCGGCGATACAGAATCGACGGTTCTACGCGAGGGAAGCAACATATACCTGATCACCTTGACCAAAAAGAAGTCAATGTCCCCAGGGTAAACAAGGAATCAAGAGCAAGACAACTGAACAGAAATCTCAACGAGCAGCAAACAGCAATCAGCAAACCACGGCAGTACAACAAACCACGTCAACAGCTCTTAAACTGCCAGGAGAAGATTCAAACAAGATGTACAACTTCGGTGGGGGAGCGGTGGGGCAGGGGGTAAAATGCGGCATCCACAACCACCTGGAGTCTCCTTTTCCAATGTTTCCCCAAGGATACACCCAGAGTGGTGAACCCCGCTTTCGACGTCTCAGGTTCAGTACTGTCCCGACGAGCGATGAAGAAGACGGTGCTGTGGGGCACTCGGGGACTGAACTGGGCAAAAGGGCCGGTTCCGGGGTTCGGCCCGGTTTGTTCCCTGGAGTTTGGGCAGAAAAATTGGGCGGCTGACACCATGCTCGAGCATGACCGATTTCTGAAAGGGCCATTTCGCACATTGCTTTGCCAAGATTGTTGAGTTGATAAGTTGATGCCCATGCGGTTTACAGATGTATGGCTGTTTCAGTAAACGCCTTCAACACTTACAATTTGCAGACCCCTCTTGGACCATTGAACTGTGGGAAGGGCCATTTGAACATTTGTATGACCTGAGTGGGTAAACGCGCCACAGCTGGCCTTATGGAGAGCCCTGCGCATCTCTTTTTCTGCCAGTCTTTTTTTCGTGGGCCCCCTTTTTGGTTGTTTTAAAGGGAAAACAGGACGAACACCACCATTTTGAGTGGACCCCTAAAGACACATCCAAGTAAGCGTCCTTGAAATTAGATTGCTGGAACACATTTTTGAGAACTCTGATGAGTAAACCTGCTTCACATCTCACGGTCACCATATCAGTTCACTAAACTGCATAGATATGGCAGAATCAAGCATATTTTGGGTTGGGCAAATGCTGAGGTCTCAGTACAGGCTACTTCGGGGCGCCTTCCTGAACACCCAGTTTTCAGTGACTTGAGAGGAATGGTATGCATGGAGTTCACAAATGTCACAGGTGTTTTGGGTGCATGAATATAATATATAGATACATATATGGGTGTCGTTCTAAAGGTCCTTGCAAGGAGTTTGGTATTCGGTGACCATCGGTGTTGGTTGAGGTAGCTCCGCGAAAGATTCGCGATGGAGTTGCGAAAGTAATTTCTTTGTTTGCGAAAGTTTTGCGTAGCTGCTTCTTGCAAATCAGTAATATGTGAAAACACTCATCTTTTCTGCTGAATCTTCCTTCTAAGCTGATTAAAACATTGTGTTGCTTGTCCCCTGATAAAGCCTGGTGACGCTACAGATTGATACCCTGCTTCGCTGGTTAGTGCTCCAGGTGTGCGGGTGTTAGTCGGTGGCTTTAGAAACGTGAGTGATGTTTCGCGAAAGTTCCGCGAAAGATCCGCGAAAGCCCGCGCGAAAGCGCAGGCTTCGATTGCAAGGGGAGGTACTTTCTGAGCGCCGCGCTAGTCAGAGTACTAGCTTGGTACTGGTCACTTGCAACTTCAAGCTGGGGCTGCGCGGCTTTCGTGCTGGAACTGCGGAAGTGCATGTCGCGTACTGGTGCTGAAAAGTTGTGAATTTCCAGCTGGAGTCGCGGAAGTGCATGTCATGTACTACCCTTGTGATGAAAAGTCGCGACTTTATTTCGCGTACTAAACCGGTACTTAAAAGCTGCGACTTCCCGACTTGAGCAATGAAAAGTGACGGCGATGAATCCGCGAAAGATTCGCGAAAGTAACTTTTTTATTCGCGAAGAATGGCCGTTTCGACACAAAGGAATTTAGAACAACCACCTTATGTATGTATATATATATATATTTGGTACACATGCACACTATACGTTCTGACATGCTCAGAAGGGGAAAAACAAGAAGCATGGAATCCAACCAGTTCGAGCACAGCTGTTCTTTCTCGCTATCTCGTCGTTGGCAGTTCATGGATTTGGTGCCCAAGCCAATTGCTCACGCTTCGCATGGCCGAGGTGCAAATACTTCCCCGCGAACACCTGCACTCGCGGAGCCGCGTGCCGATTTGCGCATGACCTCGCCTTGCTTTCAGACAGGCGACCGATTCGCTCGCAGGCTGTCTCCAGTTTCCTGTCGGCTTTCTCAAGCACAGAGTTTGGCTGCCCTTTCCCCAAACAGCATTCCTTTTGTCGGGGAACGCCAGGGTTTTGGGTTTGAACCGCATATTCCGAAAGGCTTCACATCTAACCCACAAGGAAGGGAGGATTTGGGTTACGCCGGTTTGGGCGGTTTTGCAAAACAGTGTCCTGGCGTCGGGCGTGTATTCCAAAAAGCAGGTGGCGAATTTGCCGCATTTCACGCAGAGACCTGTCCTGAGACGGGGGCCCTTGTTTGGCGTGGACAGCAACAAACATCCAACCATTTAGGGCTTCTCTGGCAGCGACGGAGGTGATCGGCTTAGCATGAGACGCTACTCTGGGCAGATTCTATGTTTGAATGGCGACCAAACGTTAAAAGCAGTAGAATACATGTTTAGCAACGAAGCTCATCTCCAATCATGTATGAAATATGAATTTTAAATATCTCACGGCATGGTGACTCGTCTATTGGAGGCCATGGGCCTGATATTCTTTGGGTCGAAGCTGGCACTGGAACGGAGGGCTGAAGGAACGGAGGGGAGACTGCAGACTTTTAGGCCCCATTTTGTGCTTTTACGCGGGTACCCTATTCAAGTTGGTTTGAAGGGACAACTTGCAGCAACACCATTTTGGTGGGCAGACCTATTTTGGCGCAAATGAGTCTAGCAAGAAATTCTGGGTGCCGTAGTCTCCCCTGCGTGATCTCGCTGAGCCAGCCCGGGTAAAACAAAACGCAGAGGAGCGACTGTCAATATCAGCGGTCGTCTGTCGGTTAGAACAGAGTACCCAAACACCAATTACAAGGGGATCGAATATTGTTCATTTTCCCAGATGTTTACTACTCAGGGCCTATTCACGTGCTTGGTTGTTTGTTGTTTGCATTTGACAATTTGTCAATGCACAGCCACGTGCCCAGATGTTGCCGCCGTTTTAACCTTGTGCCCCTCGTTGCGCGCTGGGTGAGTCCAACTTGCTGGCTGGTGTGTTTTTGGCAGGCCCAGCCCACCTGAAACTCGCCTGGCAGTCCGCACCGTGAGCGAAGGGGAGGACTGTGCTCCAAGGGACTGGTTGCCACAGACGAAATCAGCCGGTCTCTGCATACGAAGGTTTGTAGTCAAGTGGGATGCACTTGGGTGTGGCTCAGAATCAAAGAGCTAGGGTTACGCAGGTTTTAGTCCTTGTTTTGCTGAGAAACCCATGTTCTGATGACCCTTTTGTGTTTCATGTTTGGTCTCCAACTTGCCGGTGTTTCAGCATCAGAGAGCTTACCTTACATCTACCATATTTCTAAACGTGCTCCTGTGCATTGCTGCTGCCCTGGACCAGTACGAGAGTGGTCCATACGAGAGCCGCACAACCCCTCACCACTACGTGTAGGCATTGATATCGACCCCGGATCAATCAACCCCTGTTTGTTAATAGGGAGGTGTTTTTGTTTTTGCAAAAGTGATGGTTCCCCGCTAAACCGAGGGACACCCCTCTACTAATATCTGGGTCGTATTAATCCGGGGTCAACACAATATACGCTTCTTGGCAGGTTATCAGCTGAGGCTCTGTTCATCCCTGCAGGCAGCTTGCTTGCACTGGTACCAATTGAGGAACAATTGCCGAAATGGACACATCAGGAAGTCCGAGTACTGCAACATTTGGTCACAACACCTCGGGGCTATTGCTGACTCACCTGAAGAAAACGCGAGTACGAACTCCGCCAACAGTCAAGACAGATCGGTATCATCGTGGGAGAAGGCGGGCCGTGACATTTGGGCAAGCAGGGATGGCAGACGACAGTCGCCGAGGTCACCCGCAATGCCTAAGACAGAGGTGAGAGGTGTGAAGAGCCTACTGAAGGAAGACTGATCAAAGCCACCATCAAGTCCTAATCGAAGATCATCAGGTGAGAAAGCACACATGAAGAATGAGCTCGAAGAGGCCAAGCGCATGCTTAAAGTGCTGAGAGAGGCTCTTCCTTTCGCTTTGCTTCGCAGGAGGGCATTGCCAGTTTTGCTGCGCTGAAGAGCAGCGCAGGCCTCAGGTTGACCTCCAGCAAGAGCGGGCTTCGAGTGCCCTTTTGACTTCCCTTCAATCCGATTGAGAAGCGCGCCTTCAACAGAGAAACGCACAACCAAACTGCACCAGCGAAGCAATCTAGCCGACCAACCAAACAATGAACCGCCCAAGAAAAAAAGAAGCAAGCAAGCACGCAAGCAACAACAAACAAACAACCCAGCAAGCAAGCAAGCAAACAAACAACTGCACAAGTAAATACACGCGCACACAAGCAGCAAACACAAGCTATACAGCAACCAGCGAGAACAATCAAAGACAAACACACGCAAGCAAAACCACATAAGAACAAAACAAGCAGCAGAAACAACAGAAACTGCACACAAAGCGCAAACAACAACAAGCAAACATCAACAAAACAAGCAAAAACAAACAAACCAGACACACACGCACACAAACAAGAACAAGCAATATCAAGCAAGCGCAAACACAACAAATCAATCACAACATCGAACAAGCGCACACAGACAACCACACAGACAAAAACGCAACAAACAGAGCCAATATGTACACGGCAAAACAAGCAACGAAAGCACATACACACACAAATAACCATACGCAAAAGCAAACAAAAGCAGACAAAACCAAAGACACAAATACTGCAGGCAAGCGCACACACAGGCCCAACCACCCACGCACGCACGCACGCACGCACGCGCGCACGCGCACACCCACACACACACATACACGCCCACACCCACACCCACACCCACACCCACACCCACACCCACACCCACACGCACACGCACACGCACACGCACACGCACACGCACACGCACACGCGCACGCGCACGCGCACGCGCACGCGCGCGCGCACGCGCGCACGCGCACGCGCGCACACGCACACACGCACACACGCACACACGCACACACGCACACACGCACACACGCACACACGCACGCACGCACACACGCACGCACGCACGCGCCCACGCACGCACACACGCACGCACGCACGCACGCACGCACCCACGCACCCACGCACCCACGCACCCACGCACCCACGCACCCACGCACCCACGCACCCACGCACCCACGCACCCACGCACCCACGTCCCCCGCACGCCCGCACGCCCGCACGCTCGCACGCACGCACGCACGCACGCACGCACGCACGCACGCAGGCACGCACGCACGCACGCACGCACGCACGCACGCACGCACGCACGCACGCACGCACGCACCCACACACACACACTCACACACGCACACACACACGCGCACACCAAAACACTCACGCATAGACACACACACGCATACAAACAAACACAAGCACAAACACAAACAGAAGCACGCACACCCAATGGATATTGACATCGTTTCCTGGCAGCCTGAAAGAAGTGAGGCCACGCGTCCAAGGGACGGCCAGTGCGATGTGTAACTAAGGTCCTGCGGGGAACGCGCCAAAGCAATCCGAAGGTATGTTCTGGGTGCGTCTTGTTCTGGAGGGGTTCCCTTTCAAAGGAAACCAAAGGAAACCCGATGCCATATTGGAGGTTACCCTATATCAAGGACACACCCTTTAGAGGCCCTGCATATTTCACAACCTTCTTGGAAGATCAAACCATTGCAGTTAAGTAGTCAAGTTTCCCCTTTCTTGTGCAAAGCTTGGGCGCGGTGTAAATATACATATATATATATATATACATATGCTGTCCCCCCCAAAGAAAAAAACAAGAACAAGAAGCTACCAAAATTGTACTTAATATCTTTTTCAGATAGAATCTGTCTGCATAATCTTGAATCTGGAACTTATGCACTTGTAGTAAGCGACTGAAAGCTCCAGCTGCAACAACAGCTTTTAAGATAAGTACCGCTCTGTGCTCGTGTTTCTACTCTTATCATTTTGTAGGCAGAAGCAGCAAACCTGCCATGTTGATGGCTTCATTTCTGCCTAAGTTGCCACTTAACGTTGGACACCAAGTCAAATATGAAGATTCGCCATGCCCTTGCGCAGTTCCATTTGCATTCCAATTCAGCACTGTTGCAAGACAAGCTATTCAAGTTGCAACTTCAGTTTCAAACAGTTGGACAACCTTATCTGAGTTCATGCAAGTTTAACTAAGCGAGAACTGAGCCAAACCATACTTCTTAGCAACAACGCAGTAGCATGCCTATTTTCAGCATGTGTCAGATCATCGTTCCTCCCCGCAAAAGGTCAAGCTGCGCAGTGCATCTCAGTTTTACCCTCACAAATGAGGCTCAAGCTTGGCACCTGCTAGATTACTAGATCGAACATGAAGTGCACGAAAAAACAACAAAAAGGACAAAAAGAAGAAGCAACAGACCCATCTGTGGATGTCGCACACCAAGGCCGGCCAATCTTGGGAGTGTCTGCTTTACGGCACGCCCCTTCCTGCTATCCGCTTGGTTTTCTATCCACTAAAAAACAAATGCACACGTGTTCGACAAACATGCGTTTCTGAGGCTCTCAGCTTCGTTCGCAAAACGTTGCGTAACATGTCAAAGTGGGGGTAGGATTGTTTTTATTGTTTTGGTTTTTGGTTGGAACATGTTGCGCAACATGTCCACTGACCAAAAACACAAGTCCAAAACCAAAAAACAATCACCCCCTCCATGGCTGGACATGTGGGGAATGTTGCTCAACATTCCAAAGAACTAAATTAAAGCCAGAAAAGCTACTTCTTCATGGTTTTTACATGGGGAGTAGGGCCAACTGCCAAACATGTTATTTATGTTTAGATTGTTTTTGGCTTGATGGGTGTTTTTTGGTGAGAGGGGCAAAACGCCTGAACACAGCTTTTGGGGGTGGGGTACAATATATATATATATATATATGTATATATATATATATATGTATATCGAAATCTGTAGAATGCCCAGGTGCCTTCATGTTTGCTTGCCACCAGTGTCTATGGTTGGTGGCAGATGTCCTATTATTCTTGGGAAGCGATAGGCACGATCTTTGGATCTTTGGACCACACTCCTGCCTCGGCGCTTGCGGGGAAATGCAAGGACTCGCAGCCAACCTGCTGCAAAATTACGACCATTTGAATTCTGAATCAACATGGTGTAAGGCACGCTTCCAGTTGGGTCCCAGCAGCAAGTTGTTGTTGCTTTTTGCCTGGGTTTTTGCCCGGGTTTTCTCAGTGTGTTACATCTCTAGGCTTTTGCGCGGGTTGCATGCACACGCCGCCTATTCGTGGCCATGGATGTTGCGCCGCTCGGGCAGGGGGCAAACATGGTAGACAAGTTTGGGTCCTTGCAACCCTTGGGCCAAAATCACAAATATTTCTTTCATATGGAATCGTCCATCATTTTGGGGATTGTTTGGTGACACGACGCCTGGCCATGACTTCCTTATCAGGCCTAGGTGAGGGAGTTTCGGAAGATTTGCTGGTTGAGCCCACAACGAAGCCGGTGGCTGCTGGAAGTGGTTATTCCGCTTATTTTTCTTGTTCAATATGGACATGAACCTGCAAAACACTCTCGGGAAGAACCCGATTGTTCCTGTTGGCGGACGAAGGATTAGTTGCCAGTGGAGTGTATCTGCCTATTTCTTTGCCGGGCTCACCTGGATGCACATGAAAGCTCCTTTCTCGGGATGCCGAATGTTGATATTTTGTCTGCCTTACTTGATTGAGCGAGTTTCCACTTGTTTGGGGAGACCAAAGAATATGATTCAATTGGTAAGCAACATATTTTCTGAGGGGGGACAAGCAACTCGGGAAGCGAGTTGCTTGGGGACACCTGCTCCAGCCTAAGGCAACAAAATTTCAACGTCGCATGCCGCTTCCAGCGAGTGCAGCGGCCTCGGGTTCCTTGAGGTCAGCCCTTGGCGAGAAGGTTTCCTTCGTGAGAAAGTGTTGCGCGATTCGGCGACTCGACTTTTAAGTTGAAACCAGCAGGGACACCCGCCATGGCGTCTTATTCTTGGAGAGAATCGGGAAGTGTCTTTTGTGAAGGTACCCTTTTTTGGGTCGTTCTCAAGGCAAACCAACAGAAACCACCCCAAAGCTTCCGCTTCCCGTTTTGACAGTTGCTTGTTCTTATGGCTGAAACGACCTAACCAGCCTTGGGCTTCCAGCCAAGTCCTTATAACCGATTCGGGGAGAAGGTTACTATAGGATAGTCCCATCCATATCTACCCTCCCTAAAATAGCACCTCATAGGGAATTCCTCTAAGATGATATTGATCTTCCAGGTAAACTCCCACACATGCTATGTTTGTTGGAGGAAGGGTAGGTGCTGCCTTGCTAGTTCTAAAAAACATGGGTTTTGGGTAGACCATTTTGCGAGGTGTTGATCGCGACTCACAATGTAAACCCTTGATTCCTCTCCCCGGCATCATCGATGAAGGAAGTTCGCCCGGCAGAAAGATACCCGAGAATGGGGACACTCTGACAAATGATTGGGGGGGGGGGGAAATTTCCCTCACTTGCAACCAAGCGGATCGACCCTTTGACATGTGTGTTTCAAATTTGGCAACCATTTTTTGAACAGACTCCAAAAGGTTAACCATTGATTTTGGATCCTTAGGTGCAGTGAGTTTTACATTGTTGCATACTATGACAGAAGAGCTGCCGGATTGAAAGGGAAGGATACCCTTACACTATGAACCGCGCACAGCCGCAGGGCGTGCGGAATGAGGTGGACCCCCAATTTTGGGGGTTGAACCAACGGCTCCTGCTTGTTTCCCTGAATTGTAGCATCTGTCTTCGAGCATCCAACATCCGAATATCTCACCAATACCTGACCCATACCTGACCCAGAATTGACTGCTGGCAAGCAACCAAGACGCTTCAGAAAATTGTTTGCAACTGGGGAACATGGAAAGCCCGGCAGTTGCCTTACTTGCAATATTTCGGGGAATTGAGTCTATGTGCCGAGAGATTTCTTTTCGAAACGGATGGGCCAACGGCCCTGTTGAAATTTACGGATCAAAAGCGAATCAACAGTAATATGTAAAGTGTTCGAGTTTTTGGAATTGCAGCGGAAGCAGTTTGCGCGTCAGGGCTCAAAGACGAAAGCTCGCTGCCAACCGGCCAAGGCCGGCCGGAGGGGGGGCGGTCGGCAGCGACGTCTGCAGGGTTGCAGGTTGATGTCGACTCACAGCGGGCTGTTGACCTCCAAAGCGGAGGATCCCACATAAAAAAGGAGACCGTCCTCTGAATCAATCGGGCGTTTCTTAGTCCTGGGTTCCTAGGAAGGGACAGTACCCTCGTCCCAGAAAAAGGGTGTCTTTTGACTCTTCACCATTTTGAGTAGACCCCTTCCTAGGTGTGAGCTGCAGCAGGATCGTTCGCTTCCTTGTGCAGCACCTTCTTTCTTTTCCTGTTGCTCCAAGCGCCGATCAAGATGACCAAAGGCCTTTAGCTGCTCTTCTCAGCTTTTCACCTTTGAGTTTGTATTGGTCTATTGTGGGGATGTCAGAGCTCTGAGCAACTATTCAGCCGGGATGAAATGTATTTCCCAGCAGCGTGCGACGACCGCACGTACGTGATGCTTAAAAAGTGCGTTTATCAAAGTTCCCTTTAGATTTCCCGCAATCCAAAAGAGGGGCCCGGACCGTTTGGCGATGGGTGCTGACAAAGACTTCAGGACTGTTCCTTTTACGTAGTCACTCAGGGAGCTGAAGCTGAGTGGCACATGTTTTTCGCCGGGAACTCTCTGACGGTGGCTTTGACGGACCTAATTGAAACGGGTCCGGCCTTTGGGTTCCCATCAGAGGTTGCAAAGCTTGCATCTCCAGACCCTTCTCAGCGTCCAGGTCCTGTTCAGCGAATGGGATCCCATCAGACCCTTCAATGCCTCGTTCCAAAATTCGCATCCGACCAGGGTACATGCCCAGACAGCAAGAAAACCAAGGCGCCTCGTTTCGCGTTTTCGAGCGGTCACGGGTTGGAAGGGAGTTCTACACTTATTGTACTGGGGGCACAATGGGACGCCGGACGGACGAATAACCAAACTCCTTGTTGATTCATGGGGCGTGTCCTCCTTTAGTGGGTAGGGCGGGTTAATTAATCCGGGGCGTACTCGGAGTCCTTCAAAGCAGCTTGACACGCCGTTGACTCCGCCGCACTTTTAGTCGCCCAGGATGGATCAGGTTTCTAAATCTGGACTTCGGGGGTCCTGAAGCAAAGACGCATCCGAATCTGGGTTCCAAAGACCTTCAGCTGAAGCTTTGTCTCCGTGCTTGGTAGTCCACGAGTTTAAGCTAAGCGAAATTCCAGTTGCCAAAGAGGGGCTGCGCCATTTGGTTCATGGCTCATGAGTCGCTAGCAGAGGTTCTCTGAATTTAAAATCAGCATTTTTGGAACACGGTTTCAAGAACCTTTTCTGCATGAGCCTCTTGTGTAGATGATCGCGCCTTTGTCAGCTTGGCCCGGAGTTCTGCTCAGCACCCTCGACAAAAGGACAGGTCTGTTTCGAGAAATCAGTGTCCCCAGCGCTGGGCCTTTGAGCATTCCTGCTTTATCTTATTGTTTCACTGTTGGGATTCTTGGCAGGTCACAAGGCAGCCAGCTCATTCCCGAGAACCTTCTTAGTGTCTGACCAAAAGCTCATGGAAACCAAGCAAAACAAAAGAAACGGGATCAAGCAACAGAACCAAGAAAAAAAACAGGCAGAAGGATATCAGCTTAGCGCTTGGACACTTCCCTGAGGGCTTGTCGCCTGTTTTTTCTGGGTTTTCCCCTTCTTCTTTTCTTTGCATTCCTGCGTCTGCGCTCCAGTTGCTGAGTAAAACAAGCCCGGGCATGAATACCAGGAGAATACCAGGATTATGCTAGGGAATACTAGAGTTTGAGGAGAATCCATCCCAGGTAAGGGGGAATGACCAGCAACTCCAGGGTCTTGTTCTGGCTTTGCTTTTGTGCGTGTTGCATCTCAAGGAATACCAGCAGAATCAAATGAAGTTTAGTAGTACGGAAAGTTGAATGCACAAAGTAGAACGAGTTGAAAGAATCACACAAAGCAAGTGAGAAAGTAAGTAAGTAGAAAGAAGGAGATAGAGAAGAGAGGAACTGAGTGGCAGAGTTGCCAGAAGGATTTGGCGAAAAGATCCGAATGCCCCCTGGACAAAAAGGAGATTGTGATTGTACCCAGCCCTTAGATCCTGAAACGAGCGCTAAATAGCATGTTCAGGTCAGCGGATCGGTCGCAATCGACAGCGAAAGATTTGCGCCTTGGCCATCAACATGGATTGTGCGCTTTGCAGAGCCAGTTTGTATTCAAGGAGTCGAACTTGGCTGCCTCGGAACCCCTTAGGAGGGTTACAATCTACCGACTTCTTCCCTACCAACCCCTTAGGAGGCTTGTAACTTCCTTCAAAACAAATTGAGGCCCCCCAAGACCTTTTCCACCGGATCCAAAGAGCCGTCTCAGGGTCGCGGGGGTTCCATCACACTTTCCAGTCCGTCCATGCAGGGACATGGGGGGCTCGAAGTTTGAATCTACCAGACGTGGAGCAGGTGGCTTTGTGTTTTCCCCCTGTCCATTGAGGGTATGGCACATATATCTATGTGTTTGTTTTCTTGATTTGATGATACCCTTTATTGTTTTGGAGGGAAGCCAAAGGGAAACAACCTTCTGAAACCCATATTTTCCCCTTTTATTTATTCTTTAAGCATCTTTTGTGCTGGTGTTATGTTCGAGGGAATTGAATCGGCATCTTCGTGATTTTGGACGGCCCGGGCGGCTTTTGGCCAATGTTTGCCTCTCCTTTTTCAGCTGCTAGCTGCTTCCTTTCCAGAAGCCCGTTTTGAGAAGGTTGCCGGACCTTTCCAGTCGCCTTTCTTGGCCTTTGCACGTGAGGCTTGGACTTTCAACGTGGCCGATGCAAGCGAAACTCTTGCTGGCGGGGGGTGGGGGGGGGGGTGCGGGCCGGTGTAGCAAACGCCCAGTTGGAGCACCCTGGCCACGTGTCGGAGCCATCCGGGGCTCGGAGGAACCGAAGCAGAGAACGCTCTCCGGAAGGACGCGGAATGGCACATGGAAGTAGCGAACTTCTGAACGCTCATACGAGACCTGTCTCCCGGAAGTGACAAGGGACAAGCAAAATCCTCTAGTCTGCACATTGAGCGAAGTTGCACACAAACCTGCACACTCACACAAAGATGTGTCTGCCCGTTTTTCAGAAAATGGGCCCAAACCAGGGGTAAATGGATGATTTGGGACCGCCGTCTCAAAGTGTGGTTTGATTGATGGAGGTGGTTTCCTTAAGAGAAGCCGCCCCAAACTGGGGCCTCCGGTCTGGGACACTTGTCCGCTTTTTTGCTCCCGGACGTGGCACTCAATCCGGGCGATCGGTAAGAGATGTTCGCATGTGTTTGGTTGTGCGTTTTTGCTTGTGTACATTGGTGGTGCTTGGAGAACAACGTTGCTGGCGTACCCATGGAGAAGATAAGGAGTCCCTCCGGAGACGGGGGCATTCGCAGGGATGGACACTGTGGAACTCCTTGGAAAAGGGAATGGAGTCGTTCCCGCTTTAGAGGGATCTGCCATGCCCCAAAAATCAGCTCCGTTAAGCAAGCTCCCTACAGGTTTCTCGGGAACGGTCATCCAGACATGCGGGGACCCTGAGATTTACAATTCAAGGGTCAGCCCTTAAGCTTGATCAAGCGGTCACCAGCCCTGCCTCGAGCAAAAAGGGCTTGATGTGGTTCCGTGACCCCTAAAAAGATTCAACCTGCGGTCACCATGCGGTCATGCGGGCTTGTGGTCTTTGGGTTGACCTCCGTCAGGTCTGGGCCTAAAACCCCACGCTTGACAGGTTCCGACACGATCAGCCGAAGTCGGTGTGTGAAACTTTCCAGCTGACAGGCGGGCCACGGGGAAAGGGTGCACGCGCCTGGATTGCTTCAGAGTTTTGGTAGTTAGGTGCCATTTAGCGATTCTTTTTGGTGGGGAACACAACTTTAAGGTGGTTAGTAGACACAAACCCCGAGGTAGATGATGTCCATCAAAAAGTCAGTATATATTGTGCATTGCCGTGTCAGCCAGTCCCGGAGTAGGCTTGTTTTCAATGCCCCCCAAACCCTTCGGTCTGGAATGATGGATGCACCCCCAGCTCCCCTTGGCCGATATTTGGAGCTTTCATGTACCCGGTGCACATATATCCCTGGATCTGAACAGGCAAGGAGATATTCGATACGGAGAATGTGAGGACGCAAGGACGGTCCTTATTCATCTCTCTGCAATCTCTCTCACTGAGCATAGCAGCAAGGCTTTTGTATCGCTGCTTGGCAAACTGCAGTAGCAACAATACACAAGAAAGCGGCTTGAGCTAAATGGTGTGAGATCGCGTGGAGGGCCGGCGCAGGCCGCCGACATTACAGGCCTGCTTTCTTATATGCGTTTCTTTGGAAGTTGCCCTTGGGTATTTTTGCATTGGAATTAGCCCATTGGAAGTCTCCCTGTGGACAATTGGAAGTTTCCCTTTGGAATTTTCCTCTAATAGTTCCCTTTGGAATTGTCCCATTAGAATTCTCCCATTGGAAGTCTCCAATTGGAAGTTTGGCTTTGGAATTGTGCCTTTGGAATTTCCGTTGAAATTGTCCAACAGGAGTTTTCTCTTTAAAATTTGGAAGTGTCCCTTCGGATTTGTCCCTTGTAGATTTTCTCTTGCGAATTCTCCCATTGCAGCTTTCTCTTTGGAATTGTCCCATTTCTCCAATGGGAATTCTCTGTTTGGAACTGTCCAATTTCTCCAATGAGACGTATCCCATTGGATTTTTTCCTTTGGAATGATTCCATTGGAATTACTTTATTGGAATTCTCCCATTGTGATTCTCCCATCGGAATCTCAGATCGGGTTTTCCCATTGGAATTGTTTTCTTGGGATTGTGCCATTGGATTTTCCCTTGGGAATCCTTTCATTGGAATTGTGGCTTCGTGTCTTGTGGCATCCAAGGGTGTTCAGCCCTTGCGATTAGATGTTCATGAAGGCTTTATGATTTTAAGCCATCAAGATTTCAAGTTTTTAAGCCATCAAGAGTATGATATTTGTAGTTACTAAGATTTGAAGATGTCAAGCCATTGAGATGTAAAGACTTTAAGCCACTCAGATTGAATAGTTTTGAGCCATTGACATGTTAAGGCTTTAAGCCATGAACATTTTTACACGTGAAGCCACGCATATTTTAACATTTTACTCCATCAAGATTCTAAGGTTTGAAACCATTAGTATTTCAATATTTTAAGCCATTACTAGTTTAAGACTTCAGGCCATGAAGATGTTAACACGTTAAGCCATTAATATTTCAAGATTGCAAGCCGTTCAGATTTTCAGGGTTTAATTCATTTTCAGCCAGTAATAGTTAAAGACTTTAAGCCATTAAAGTTTTAGCACTTCAAGCCACTCAGGTTTTAAGCTGTACATTTTTCGAGTTTAAGCTAATAGTACAAGCCACTATAACTTAATTGATGCCCTTAAGATTTAACGATTTGAAGGCATTGGGATGTCAGGACTTTCAGCCACGAATACTTTCACACATTAAGCCACTAAGAATTTAAGATTTTACGCCACTGTTCTAACGTTTGAAGCCATGAAGTTTTCAACATTGCAGGCCATTGCCATGTTAAGATGTCGAGCCATTAATACAAACACGTGAAGCCACTCAGATGTTCAGATTGTAAGCTCAGAGTCTAATCCATTAGGCTTTTCAGGTTTTCAGCCATGGCTATTTACAGATTTTCAGCCAATAATATTTTAACACCGTTAAGCCAGTATATGTTTGAGATTTTAATCCATTCAGATTTTTAAGGTTTTCAGCCACGAATATGTTGGGGTGTTGAGCCAGCCATGAATTTGAAGATCTTAAGCCACTTTGAGCCATGGAGATGTTCAGATCATCTTAATGGGTTAACATCTAAACATCGTACTGGCTGAACATCTTGGACGCCACAGGACACGAATGGGATCTCCCACAATGTGCTCTGCCGATGGCTTCACTACAGAGTTGTGTCAAGTCTCAATGGACAGGCTGATGGCTGAGGACCTGGTACTTCTGTCTCCTTCTTGGAATCGGTTGAGGAGCCTCCTTGTTCTTTTGGCAAGGCTACCTTCTCATTTGGTAAGAGTGCGCTTCCTGGTTTCTCAGGAATGGTGTCATCCTTTCGAACCGTTGTCATGCTTACCTTGACGAGTGGAGTTCCAAAATCAAGACCTACCGTGGATTTTTCTAAGGAAATGACTTTCCCTGAGCCATATGCCTCCTTTGTTTTCATCGGAACGAATCTTGGATTTGCTTCTTCTCCATGACACCTTCGCTTTGTTTCCATCGAAAGGCACAGTTTTTGCGGACCATTGGCTTGGCAGTCAGCTTGTAGCATGTTTTCGGCAATTTCGAGATGGGGCTGGCTGTCTGTTGCCCCTGTCATGGTGTTGAATATCAGCGGCAGGAATCTCAGCTGCATATCTTTGGATACTGTGCATTGTTGAAGCTTGCGAGTGGCGGCATGTGTCCGTGGAAGGTAATCCTGGAGGAACCTGGCGGAAGATCTTCCTGGCAATCTCTGGTCTTCATGGAAGTTCCCAGCAATTGCAAAGCAATCATATCTGGGCTTTTCATTCCATATTTGCATCTGAAGCCTACATTGGTGGCCCAGAAATTGGATCCTTTCGGTGCTATGTCATGTGCTCCTCGCTGTCTGACAACAAGCCCTTTGAATCCTGCATGGATAAATGCTTGCGCAACACTTTCTACCACTTGTGTCTTGCAGTGCACACAGTCCACAAAGAAGTAGTCTGCTGCGTTGAGACAAAGGATATGGTCACAATTACGCAGGAGCATAGCCCTGTGCTGAACTTCGGCGGTCGGTCCCCAATTGGCCGGAAGGACAATCAAGGAGTCCGAATGTTGCTTCCTGTTTTTTCGACATAGGTTGACCGGCGAGTGGCATAACGTTGATGTGTGCTTGAATGTCTTCATGAACAGTTCTCAGCAGCGCCTCCTTGCTTTGAACATTGGTCTTTCGACAACCTGATCGATATCTTCCGTGTTGCGCAGGTCTAGTAGTTGAACATCTTGCTTGTGTGCAAAATCTTGTATCTTGACAGCAGCGCTGCTGCTTGTCATGTTGTACTCCGCATTGATGGCTTCTTTCGCTTCCTGAAGTGAATCACCTTGCTTGTCTGCGCATGTCGTAGCAGGACGTGAGCAAGATCCTGGCAGTTCACCTCTGCTACGCTGCCACTTTCCTGCGTTGCTTGCAAAAAATGATTGTGGATGTAACCCCTGCGTCCTGAAGATTGGTCTGATCACCTCGCCAGGCAAATTGTGCAGCAGACTGGTCGGCGTGAGACTTCGCAGGTTGTACCCAAGTGACTTGTCCTGATCTAAATAGCCGTTGAACACAGCGCAACGTCCAAAAGTCTTGGTGTCTCGCAGTTCTCCGCAGTACTCTGTCTGCCATGCTTAAAGTGGAGTCTTGCTTTTGGCTCCACAAACTCAATGATTGGAAGATCGCGCTTTTTCTTCTCACACCCTCCCTGGCCGTTCTGCGCATTCGACCATGGGCCTCGCACGGGTGCAATCAGCGTAACATCTACACGTGCTCAAAACTTCGCACAAGGTTTGCGGACAAGCGACACATGACCAAGAACTTACTTCAGCAAGATGCACACGACCAAGGCACGATCGCTTAACATACGTATGCGCTTGAGAAAGGCACGCAACCCACTTGAGAAAGGTACAGATACACTTAATTGAGCAAGACATGCGGGAGCGACACACTTGAGCAGGCTGCAAGCTGCGCCCGGAGTGAACTCACGCGTGGGGTCACAGTACAAGGACCGATTCGCTCGGGCACGGGCCATTTGATTCAGGTGCTTCGCTTGATCTCCGTTCTTACTCCCAGAGCAAGGGCCTGGGTCGGGGTGAATTCTGGGAGCTACAGCAGCGCAAGCGCTGGCAACCAGCAATTCATGCGCAGCCCAGCCAGCTGCCCAAGAGCGTCCTGGGACGGAATACAGCTTTGTTTCCGACAAGAGAGAGAGAGGAGGGTAAGTGTTTTGTAAACAGCTTCCTGCCTTCGTGGCAGGGCATTGCGTGCACGGCCTCCATTGCCAAGCCCTACACGAGCAGCACAATCAGCCCCTTGGCACGGGGGAAGGTTGGGGCTAGGCCGAGGCTTGAATTGCTAGCAGACCCAAAACAGTGCCTCAGTGGACACAATGGCCCTACCTGACCCGATGTGAAGTTGACCGTCTGATATCAAGCAAAGATGGTAGTGAGCAATTGTTCGGGGCAGCAAACTCTGGCATCCTCCTTTTGCAGACGCGTGCCTAAGTGGTTGAGTGACGCTGTGCCGCACTGCGCGGAAGACCGTTTCACTGAGCTAATATTGAGACGCGCGCTGCGAACGAAAGCCCTCCAGCCCTCCATGATGCGGGCAACTGTTAAGCTTGCAGTTGGCTACTGTTTCTGGAGCAGGACGCCTTTTTCATGTTTGTCAGGGCAGGAGTTGCTTTTGGCTGGGTTTTTCTCCGCTGGAAAGTCACTCCAGTGCCTGGTCGAACAACTCCGCATATGCTTACAGGTTTGTGTGAGAAAGAATTTGTCAAAGCTGCGCTCCTGGAAAACCAACGCGGAAACAAAGAAAGAAAGAAATAAGCAAGCAGCTGTGCCTGGGCCAAATCAGTTTATGCTTGAGGCTCGTGTAAGAAACATGCAAGCAAATAAACCAACCCAACCAACCACAAGAACACGTGCAGGCACGCACGCGCACACACACACACACAAACAAACGCACACCACACACACACACAAACACACGAACACACGAACACACAAACACACGAACACACAAACACACAAACACACAAACACACAAACACACAAACACACAAACACACAAACACACAAAAACACACACAAACACACAAACACACACAAACACACACAAACACACACAAACACACACAAACACACACAAACACACACAACACACACCACACACAAACACACACAAACACACACAAACACACACAAACACACACAAACACACACAAACACACACAAACACACACAAACACACAAACACACAAACACACAAACACACAAACACACACACACACAAACACACAAACACACAAACACACAC